AAAAAAAAAAGGATACCCACCATCGCCCCGTCCCCACATACAACAACCATGGACTACCCCTTGGGTGGTGCGCAGGCAGTGTCTGTAATAACTTACCTGCGTCATCCCAAAGGGGTGTGTGTCCAGCCGTGCGCCATTCTAACGCCCTGCCCGTGTCCATGCACAAGGCTGCGGAGTTTTGAACCCGCAACCTCATACCACAATGCGCATTTCCAACAGGTGCTCTAACCACTGAGTTTCTAGGGCTGCGAATTGAAGGCAAAAGAAAAAAGTACGTGGGTGAACGGTGCACACCCCGAGCTTCTGACTAGCTGGTCAGGTGATCGAACCATTCTCAGAAATCGATATCATGGCGGGGCCACAAGCGGTTCCCCACCTCAGCCCCTCTTGCAGTTCAGGAAAGTACGTAACGCAACGGATCTGCCCTGGAGGCAGAGGCCGCCCCACGTCAACAGTATCGTAGGAACGCGAAACAACCGCTGGCAGAGCTGTAGGGCATACTTGGACCACGGCTTTTGCCCGCGTATTAGGCGGCATCACGACCAGATTCGTTTCGACAAGTCGAGGTCTGATTAGTGCTGTAGTGTGATCAGGCCAAAAGGGCACGGCGTCGTGGCTGGCGGGACCGCCACGGTCAGGGTCCTCCCTCCCTGACCGCGAATCTATCCACTTCCCCACTGCCGCGCGCACGTGCGCGCGCGCGGCATCCAGCGTCAAGGGCGCGGGGCAAGTCCGTCCTCGGTGATATCGAGGGGCCTGAGGTTATCACGCAACAGGGACAGCGGTCGCGACGGCCCGACGGGCAGGGAAAGCTCGTCCGCCATCGCTATTTCCTCGCTCTCTCTCTGGGACGGACTATCGGACATCTTCTTCGTGTTGTTGTCGTGATTTGCACGATGAGAAGGTGAGTGGTAAGAGCGGGAAGACAGAGGAAGGCAAGGCGGTCGTGCGGCACAATATCTATTCTTTTGAGCGACGCGGCGGACAGAGTCAACGGGTCGTCGGGACACGTGGGTGGTGAGACGGCGCTGAGGCGGTGGAGGAAGCCGCGCCATGGCAGCCGTTTCGGCGGCAAGGGGAGTGGGTTGCGCCACCGCGGTCGCAACAAGGCAACGCGCCGTCGCAGGGGCAGTGGCGGAACGACCAGGCGGCGCGGCCACGTGTCTCCCCTTGGGATTAGCGAAAGCCGACCTAACGAGGCGGGGGGGATGGCGGGCGCGGACGGCGCAGCTTGGTGCCCTGCACGGCGAGCTCGTCTCCTCCACACATTTGCTGGCGGCCACCGCGCTTCCGAGATCACGGAGGCGGGTTGCCAGCGGCGGCAGTGAGCGCAGCAGCCATGCGGGCGCAGTCGGGATGCCGGCGGAGGTTCGCTGCAGCGTGTCCGCCGAAAGACCCCCCTCTCAACCCCGCTTCATCCAGCACAAACAGGAGGCTTTCTGGTTCTACCGCTTTCTCTCCATTGTGTATGATCACATCGTTAATCCTGGGCATTGGACAGAAGACATGAGGGAGGAGGCGTTGGAGCCGGCCGACCTTAGCGATCGGGAGTTGAAGGTGGTGGACGTAGGGGGAGGAACGGGATTCTGCACGCTGGGAATAGTGAAACACGTGGATGGGAAGAACGTGACGTTACTCGACCAGTCGCCGCATCAGCTGGAAAAAGCGCGCCAAAAGAAGGAGCTTGCTGACGTCACCATAATTGAGGGTGATGCGGAGGAGCTTCCCTTTGCCACAGATTATGCCGATCGCTACGTATCGGCGGGCAGGTTAGTCGGTTCTTTGCTTGCTGATTTTTCTTTTTGGTTTTGTTGTGTTTTTTTTCTTAAAAACAAACAAACAAACATGCCGTAGGAAGGCCCCGCTAACCAAGAGGATTGGACTAAGCTTATGAATCTGACTGTGTTTTATGCAGAGATGCATGGCCCAGTCTCTTTCATTAACGGGGCTTAGCTCAGTTGGTACACCCGTAAACTGTTGAAATGCAGACGTGAGTTCGGATCCCGATGGAACCAGATGAACGAAATGCCTGGATTACCTAGGTCCGGTCAGTTTCACGATGATGTCTCAAGGCTGTCGCCCTTTTATGAGAGAAGGTGAAGTGAAAAAAGAAGAAGAAGAAGAAGAAGAAGAACCGCCTGGCGGCAAAAAGGGAGAAAAGGACAAGAAATGGGGGACTATGACAGACTTTATGTATATAAATGCATATATCGTCATATATATAGTCAAACAGAGCTGGCCGGTATATATATATATATGTTTGTGACCATATATATCGCTCCTGATGAGTCGGTGAAACTCCGACGAAACAGTTTGTCACAGCCCCTCGTTTGTTGTCCTCTTCTCTCTCTCTGCCTACGGTTTACCGGGCAGGTCTCTTATACACATCTAGATGTGTATAAGAGACAGCTGTTGAGGGTTCAGCCTCCTGATGAGTCGGTGAAACTCCGACGAAACAGTTTGTCACAGCCCCTCGTTTGTTGTCCTCTTCTCTCTCTCTGCCTACGGTTTACCGGGCAGTTCTGTTTGTGACGATATATATATATATATATATATATCGTCATCTTCTCCCTCTCTGCCTACGGTTTACCGGGCAGTTCTATTTGACGATATATATATATATATATATATATATCGTCATCTTCTCCCTCTCTGCCTACGGTTTACCGGGCAGTTCTATTTGACGATATATATATATATCGTCACATATAGAGGTGATGAACAGGCGGAGCTTTCCAACCTTACTTCTTTCCTTTTTCTGTTTTTTTTTTTTTTCCGCCTTTGCGCTCCGATACACTGTGTGACGATATATATCGTCACATATAAATTGACGATATGCGACGATATATGTCGTCAAACAGAGCTGCCCGGTGAACCGTCGGCAGAGCGGGAGAAGAGGACAACAAACGAGGGGCTGTGACAAACTGTCTTGTCGGAGTTTCACCGACTCGTCAGGAGGATGAACCCTCAACAGTCTGCAGAATCCCCTAACTCTGATTACACTGTAAGTGATAATCCACCTTAACCCCGGTTGTGGTTAAGCATCAACGACTGCCTGACAACTGATACCCCTCTGAGGTGGTGGGGACCACCAACCACTGCCCTCAAGGTACCTGTGACGAAAATCAAAGCAGATTATCATTCACTGACACCAGATGGAAAACTCTACAGACTGCCGGTTCGCACCCCCATCACAAGCCAGCAAAACACCCACGAAACAGAGAAAGGTATGTCACAGGCAGAAAATACACTCCAGACACGCCGCTGGCACTGGAGGCACAGCATGGCCGCGTAGTGATGGCCCCGACCACTGACGCTCGACCTGACCGGATATACATAAACTAAGTAGATGATTGTGTGAGGTAGACACGTGGCAACATTGTGTCACAGCCTGCCTTTCTCTAGTCGCACTATATCCATATCCATATCCATTTTGCACATACCCTCTTTTTCCGTGGATTTCTTCGGTATGCGTGCATGGCAGTGTAGTGTGGATGCGCGCCGCACGTGCGCAATCTGCGCGCATATTGTTTGCCCCAAGTAATATTGGTTGTTGCCTCCATTTTTATTTATGTATTAATTATTGTTTTGCTCAATCTAGTCGTGGGGAGCAGCACGTGCTGGGAAGCGGGCCCGCCTCCCTTATGAGGACTAAAGAACCATGAGGCCGTGAATGTTCACACACATCCCGGAAGTATTAGGGCCATTGCCCAAGCTTCGGCTTGTGTGTTGGAAACAAGGTGCAGCGTCCCTCCTTTGAGAGATTAAATACGAGCTTTTCTTTTTTTTTTTTTTTTTTGATGAGAGGCTACGCTACCAGAGTGGCCGGGACCAGTTGCCCAGCCGGGCCAAAAAGAAATTGAAAATTTTAAAATAAGAATTTTTTTTTTTTTTTTTTTTGGTAAAGAATCTGGATATGACCGTGAGGCAAAAGTTGTTCAGTTTATTTTTCTGCACAACGTAGTGTTTTTCCAGATGTTTTGGATTTTTTTAGTATTTTTTTTTTTAATTTTGCTGGGGCCTTCGTTGGCCCTTGCACGGCTGGGCCGCGCTGGAGAAAATGGTGACCCGGGCGGCCCGGCTGGTAGCCTAGATGAGAGGTTAATTATGTGGCCACTGGTCAGGCTTAAATATCTGAAGTGATATCCATAAATACTGTAAATCTGACTACGTGTATGAGTGTGCGCGAGCCCGGTATTATTGGTCATGCTCATTATCCATCCATAAATGTATGTACTTAACAACAACAAAAAAAAAAAAAGCGCGTACGTGTATCACCATGCCCACGCATGTATCGGTGAATCCGGAACCCCATCAGTGCACGTACGTGTCCCCATGCCCATGCATGCATGCATGCAGACGTGAATCCACGTGTACGTACCATGCACGTACACGTCGTCAGAATTTTCTCTCGTGTGTAAAGATTTCATTACCGAACTGCACGGCCCCAGGTGATTCACGAATTTCGTGAATCCCATTAGTGCACGTACGTGTGTCCTCATGCACATGCATGTGTCTCCATGCACATGCATGTGTCCCCATGCACATGCATGCACGCATGCAGACGTGAATCGGGTGGTATTATGTGTACGCACCATGCACGTAGTACACGTCGTCAGAATTTTCTCTCGTGTGTAAGGATTTCATTACCGAACTGCACGGCCCCAGGTAATTCACGAATTTCACGAATATAGCCATCTACGTCCGTCTGGATTCGAACTCGGGTCTGTATTTGAACAGTTCATAGCGTGTACCAACTGAGCAGCCGGCTGGTTATGCGGAGATATCAGTGCGTTTTGATGCGAACCGGGAGTAACGTCTTTTTTTTCTTTTTGTTTTAATAACTAAGCTATATTCTTCTCTCAATTTCACCTTTCACTATCTATCTGCCACTACTCCTAAGCGCATACAGGGGACCCCTGCAAGCATAGCTACCTCTTTCCGCCCCCCTTTTTTATTTTAATAAAAATTTGGACCATTTTTCGATTTATGTGGGCCATCCTTGCGCAGGGACCATGCTAATTTTCTCTGTATCGTTCCAATTTTAACGGATGTCCCGAAGGAGTATCTACCTGTCTTGACGGCCTCAGAGTCTCTTTTCTCCCTTTTTTTCCCTTCTCTTTTAAAGGGGGACGGCCTTGAGATATCATCATCGAACTGACCGGCCCTATGACCGGCCCTAGGTGATTTAAAATGTTAGTATCTCTACTCATCTGCGTCCACCGTCTGGGGTTCGAACTCAGGTCTGTACGTCAACAGTTACTGAATTCTTTTTTAAAGTTTTTTTAACAAAAACTAAGCTATATTCTTCTATCAATTTCACCTTTCACTGTCTATACCTACCACTACTCTTAAGCCTATACAAGGGATCCCTGCAAGCACTTCTACTTCTCACAATTAAGGGGGTGCATGTTGCCCCCTGCCCTAATCGGCGGTGATCAGGGAGTTGAGTGGGGCCGCCAGCTGGGTGGTGGGAGCGGCTAACGCAAAGAGCGAGCATTTTGCCAGTAGCTGCTCTCTCACACCCGTGTTGGTTATAGACCCTGCTCATACCGAGCAGGGGTATCAAGCGGATTATCAGTCGGTTGGCACTAAGTGCACCGAAGGCGGTCATGGTCCTCGAGCCCACAACCTCCTGAATGCCACTTGCATGCCTAACCAACTGAGTTACCTTCTTCGCCCGAATACAACGTACGGTCATTATATCTGTATATGAGGCATCTTTCAGTCTAGATACAGTTATAATGGCCGTTCGTTGTATTCAGGGGAAGAAGGTAGGCCGCTGGATATGGTTCTGAGTTCGAACTCAGATCTGTATTTTCAACAGTTCGAGTGTGTACCAACGGCTCTACCGTCTTCAGCCGAAGAGAACGTCCGGTCATCATAAGAGCTGTATTTGGGGCAACTTTCAGTCCAAATGCAGCGAGAATGACCGTGCGTTCTATTCGGGTGAAGACCATGGGCCAGTCGGTGTCCTATGTTTGTTTTACTGACGTGAGGGGATAGTGACACAAGCACTTTCCTGGATGTATCTGACCGCCTTTGACGGGTAGGAGTGGATACTTCTGACCGTAATTACGTCCGCAGGTCAGTTGAAAAAGTCCCAGTGTGAGTATGCCCTGAGTTGTCTTTTGTTTACTGCGTGGCTCACACGCCATGCCGCTCCTGTGTGTCATACACCACCTCTCCTCTGCTCTCCTCTCCTCTCCTCTCCTCTCCTTTCCTCTCCTCTCTTCAGAGTGTACTCTCCTCTTTTGTGATAGTGTCTGTCCGGGCATACTCACACAGGGCCTTTTCGACTCAGCTTTGGACAAGATTGCAGTCAGATGCATCCACGCCCTGCCATAATTGCTTTCAGATACATTTACTAGGTAAGTCCTAGTCTTTATAAGCCTAAGCCTCCGTTAGGCGAAGGAAGGAATTGCTCGAAGCCTCTGTTAGGCGAAGGAAGGAATTTTGTGTGAGGGAAAATCCATCGAATTTGTTTCCTTTATAATGTATTGGCACACAAATTCAAAGATGCATCATACATGTTGTTTTTGTTCTTCTTCTTCCTGTCTTCTACTTATTCTCATTTCTTCTTCCTTTCTTCTACTTATTCTCATTTCTTCTTCCTTCCTTCTGCTTATTCTCATTTCTTCTTCCTTTCTTCATCCTTTTTTCTTCTTCGTCCTTTCTTCCTTTTGTTGTTCTCCTTTCTTCTTCTTCCTCTTTTTTCCTTCTTCGTCTCTTCTTCTTCTTTCTTTCTCCTCCTCTTTCTCTTCTTTTTCTTATCCTTCTCCTATTCTGTTTTTATTTTTAAATGAACGTCAACACAATTACAGGGCCGGGCGCAGTGGTACGTTATTCTGCTGCCGAGCCTGTTCCACAGTTCACCTCCACCTGCAGAACCTCTACCTTTCCAAAAATCCTGGCACAACCTGTCTATTTGACTCCTCTTTCGCACTGTTTTGGGACGTTTGCGTCTGTGTGTGTGGAGGGGGGGAGGGGGGGCGCGTGCACGTTTGCAGCATTGAGTACTGGCCAGATCCCCAGAGGGGAATTGCGGAAGCCTATCGTGTCGTAAAGAAGGGAGGGAAGGCATGTATCATTGGACCCGTGCACCCGACACATCCTGTTTCCAGGTTCATGGCAGATACGTGGATGCTGTTTCCCAAGGAGGAGGAGTACGTTGAATGGTTCACCAAGGCTGGGTTCAAAGATGTCCAGCTTAAGAGGATAGGACCGAAATGGTATCGAGGATGCAGAAAGCATGGATTAATCATGGGGTGCTCGGTAACAGGAGTGAAGGAGGCTGACGGTGAGTCCCCCTTGAAATTGGGACCCAAGGCAGAGGAACTCAAGAGGCCCATGAACATTCCGAAATTCCTGTTCCAATTTATCCTCGGCACAATGGCCGGAATTTACTATGCACTTCTGCCTATCTACATGTGGCTTAAGGACCAACTCCTTCCCAAAAGCTGGAGCTTTGACTGATCCTTCCATGACCCACGCTCTCTCTCTCTCCCTCGCTCTCTGTGTGCATTGAGAGAGAGAGAGAGAGAGAGAGAGAGAGAGAGAGAGAGAGAGAGAGAGAGAGAGAGAGAGAGAGAGAGAGGAGGAAGATTGGCAGGTAGAGGTGGGGTGAAAGGGATCCATGTCCTGCGGAGCTGGGATTTGTGTAGAAATTTTGCTGGTCTTTCAAGTTTGATATTTATTGGAAATGGCCCAGAAAAAAAAATAAAACTTGGCAATGGCGCATATCATATATATGTTCAGCCAAATAGCTCAAAGAAAGTTCTGATCAAGTCACAGAGCAGGGAGCCTGCAGCCGCAAGAGCAGGAGATCGTAGGGGTGATGATGAGGTGAGGTAGGCTTTTTGCGTCCTTGACATGGGCTGGACATGACTTGCAGCACAAGCTGCAGATTCTAAAGTTATTTTATTCTGTTCATCTGATAGCATCTGGATTCGAACTTGCATCTGTATTGGTGCTGGTGAGAGATAAGATGTGCTTGCTTCCTTCAAGTTGGCAGAATGGGCTGGGAACTTGCAGCAGCAGGTGTTTGTTATTCTCTCCAGTGACAGAGAGTAATAGCAGAGAAAGGAAATGAACGCTGCAGCCCTGCGCTGTCTTTTCTTCTCGCATGCAGTGTGGGGTGATGACCATCCTCAGCTGAGAAGAAGAGAATTTCCAAGGGAGTGTGTGTGTGCTGTGGCATATAATATGTGCCATTGTGCTGGGACACGTAGCCCGGCACCATGATGCGTCCTAGCGCAGTCCGTCCTTAGGCTAGCTAGCACGCGTGCTTGGGATATACTATCTGACCCCTAAAGGTCCCGGTCAATCCAATGGTATGTGAACTTTATACATGCAAGTACTGTCAGGTCTGGTAGCATTTTGCCATACCCCTAGTCCCATGGCATTTTGCCATACCCCAATAGACCCCTGTAAAGCGGTTAACCTTTATAGACCCTTGTCAGACCCTAATCCGGCCTTTTTGTTCTACCTTTGTCAGACCCTTGTCGACCCCTCTAGAACCTTCTGGGACTCCCTAGGCCTTAGCAAACCCCTCTGGGCGCCTGGTCGACTTGGAACCGACACTTGTCAGACGGTTGTTAGCCCTTTGCAGACCCTTACATAAGGCCCTGCACATGCTTGTCAGAACCCTTTCCCTGCTTGCCAGACCTTCTGAAAACTTGCCCTCAGAGTGTTTGGTTCGGCGACTTGTTATACTCGAGGATCTGATGAATTCCGCTGTCCGAGATTGAGCGCAGCAGTTGTTTCTCTTGCTGCCACCCAATGCATTTAAAACTGCCTCTCTTGCTGCCACCCAATGCATTTAAAACTGCCTGTGAATCTACCACTCTCTGGAGTACCCTCCCTGGCTCCCTGATTCCCTCCCTCCCTCCCTCCCTCCCTGTGTCGTCGAATAGTAGGTTATTCTGCTGCTGTGTCATTCCTTACACCGTCAGGCTGAGACAGTAAGGAGAGGGTGAAACTGCGTAGTTGTGCTGGTCTTTATTTGCTGTCAGGTAGTAGTACATAGACTTTGATTGTCAAGATAGACACCTCCTCGTACCATATGATAGAATGGGGAACTTTTTCACTTCGGTGAGTCCCCTCTTAACTTATCAAGCGTTTCAGTATAAATAAATCTGTTTCAACTATTTTTAGCTCACAGTGAGCAGTGCCCACATGGAAACGGCATGGCTATCCCCCTGAAACCTCCACCACTTCTACTGCTCCCTGGGTTTTGGTATGCTAGATCATTAACAGCCAACAAGACATCCATGAATCCTTCTTCTTCTTCTTCTTCTTCTTCTTCTTCTTCTTCTTCCCTCTTCTTCTTTGTCTTCTTCTATTTTCTCTTTTTTTTTCCCTTCTTTTTTCCTTGAAAATTTGGACCATTTCTCGATTTTGTGTGTGTCATCCTTGCGCAGGGGCCATGCTAATCTTTCTTTCTCTGTATCATTCCAATTTTAACGGATGTCCCGAAGGACAGTACTACTTTCTATTACTGTAATAAATTTATAATTACTACGTTACAAGTCCTTCGCCAGCCGTGGAAGAGAGGGGCATACAGCGCATCCCAACCCTCTCTGGCCGCCATGCACTTGCTATGTGGAACTGGCTTGCATGTGGAACAGGCTCTGCTATGCTTGCTGGATGGTGCTGTGTGTCGCCTGTGTTGTATGCACGGGGTGCCTAAGAGTTGGAGGCCTGGGCACCATGCACACTTGAGAACCCAAGGGTTGGTGGCACTGCATGGATCTGTGTTCAGAATTTGCTGGTTACCGATACCAGCATGCGAAGTTCGTTGAATATCGACTTGCAGCTAATCACTCGACGCCTGACCTTGATGATGTATGTTGTTCGAGACCTCCTGTAAACAAGCTACCCAGTGCAGAAAGCACTCAGGGCCTACTATGGTAGGTTGTCGAGCCCGCATAGTGGGCCCTGAGTGCTCTCTGCAGTGGGTAGCTTGTTTACAGGAGGTCTCGAACAACATACATCATCAAGGTCAGGCGTCGAGTGTTTAACTGTAAGTCGATATTCAATGAACTCGCATGCTGGTATCAGTAAGCAGCAAATTCTGAACACAGATCCATGGGGTGCCATGAACTCTTTCCTTTTTCTTTTCCTTTTTTCTTTTCATTTCTCTTTGGATTTTTTTATTTATTTTTTAATGCGCAGGAGCCATGCTAATCTTCTCTGTATCGTTCCAATTTTAACTTTTTAACGGAGGTCCCGGAGGACTCTCTTTGGATTTTCTCTGTTTCTTAATTAAGTAAAATGGATCATTCCTCGATTCATGTGTGTCATCCTTGAACTCGCAAGAATGTTTTTTTTTTTTTTTGTGAAGGAATGTAGAATTTCATTATAGCGACGAGGCGACCCCAGTACATGTAGAACTCAGGGACAGCGACAGCGGTGAGGATGACAATGAGATGTTGAACAGCGACAAGACCTCCCCATGTGATGAAGACACAGTTGGCCCATCCCTGCCGGAAGGCAGAGTGAGTGCGTACAGCCTGGACACGTCAGCCAGCAAGGAGGACAGTGGGGGATCGAAGATCGAGATCCGCGAGACAGACACAGCGGTGGATTAGGAATCTCCACCAAGTATCACACAGCGAACTCCACCAACATAAAAAAAAAGTAAGAAAAGAACAACAGCACCACTCACAACAGCAACGAAAAGGAGGACAACGCGGATAAATAGTCGGGAATGCAGAGTCCCCCAATGGCTGCCGACACATCACAAGACAACACTATCACGACCGACTGGCAAGCCAAAGGACTCAAATTCATCAGTTGGAACGTTAACGGCTTGGGGAACACGCTGACGGATGTGCTTTACTCCAAGGGACATGAAGGGACATCCGGCTAGGCCTCTGTGACAAAGACAGACCCAGACCAGATGTGGGCTTACTCCAAGAAACTCACCTACCTCCCAAACCACGGTAACATAAAAGGAGCAATAGAAAAAATCTGGGGGGCTGTGCTTTCGCCCTACGGTCTTACCTAGTAGGGCTCAGCAAACGGGGAACAGCAATACTCATACCTAACGCTTCAAAAATATGGTCAGAAGGTCAGATTCTCAGCAATGGGGGAGACAGCGCAGAAGGCAGATGGTCATGGCTAGATGTCAGATGGCAAGATGGGGAACTGAGAATTCTCAACTTCTATGCCCCCAATGCAGCAAACGAACACCTAACCTTCCTCAGTAAGAATTACCAACCGCTGATTATCGCAGGTGACTGGAACACGACCTTGGACCCCAACCTTGACTGCATCTCTCGCTCCCAACTGATAGGCCCAACAAGAGCGAGATCCCACACCTCATCGACCCCTTCAAAACACTGCACCCAGAGAGAAAGGCCTTGTCACTTGTAAAAACGAACCAGGCCAACCGGACATCGCTGTCCTGGATCGACTTCTTCTTGATCTCCAAGCACCTCCAAGGAACAATCAAGCAAGCTGAGATCCGCCCACCAGCGGCCTTTTGGGGTCTGGACGACAAACCTGTAGAACTTCTCCTGAATTTCGACTCCGCTACGGAGGAAGGTGGGGGCTTCTACAGAATTAACAACTCCCTCTTAGCCACTGTAAGACTAACAGAGGCAGTCAGATGGAACTGGTTCTTCTTGAGACAGAGCAATGTCAGACGGGACAACAGACATCAATGGTTCACCGACAGTTACACAGACCTTATCCAAACAGTAGCAGCAGAATCCAGAAGTGTAGCAGGAAAATGGAAAATCAGAAAAGAGTAACTCCAACTCTCCATTTCTTTCGTGGAGGAACCCCTTGTTGCAGACCCCTCAAACAAATTCTACAGCCAACTATTCGATTTAGCAAGAGAGGAACTCAACGTATGGACGAGATGGGAACTAAGAGGCCTGCAGATTTGAGCCAGGATGACCGATCACACCCTCAACGAATCCATGATAAAACACTTACTTGCAAAAATCAAAGCCAACGCCAGAAATAAAGGCATGGAAGGGTTGAAGAACCCGGATAATCAGAATTGGGTTGACCAATCAGATTTGGGCATGGTGAAAATAGCCAGATCATTTTATGCACAGCTCCACAAATCCAAAACACCTTCCCCCTCCTCTCAGCCAACTCAACAGCACGACAGTGAATGATGGCCTACCTGGAGAAGACAATCACACCAGAACAGACTGAGGGGCTGGATAAACCACTCTCATTGGGAGAACTACACACAACCCTGACTCAGATGTGCAATGATAAAGCCCCGGGTATCGATCGTCTATCGAAAGAATTCTGGATCCACTTCTGGCCCAAACTCTTCTCAATTTTTTTAATGACAGCAGATATTGAGGAGGACTAGGACTATGACAAAATCTGAGTACAAGCGTAGTATCATTACCACACAAGAAAGGTGAGAAAGAGGATTTGAAAAACTACAGACCCATCTCACTACTCACAACTCTACAACATCCTAGCGAAAGCAACAGCCAACGAGATCATCAATTTGACAGACAAATGCCTTCACATGGAGCAAGTTAGTCTCATCCCAGGATGGTACATATTGGACAATGTGATGACTCTGAACAAGGCGGCCAAAAAGATTACAGAAAAAAGGATGAAAGCAGCGGTCATTTTCTTCGACTTCGAAAAGGCCTACAACTGTATCAACTGGGACTTCCTTCACGCTTGCATGGAAGAATTGGAGTTGTCACTTGACCGAATTTCAGAAAGTGGGTCAAAGTGCTTTATACGGACGCAACCGCCATAGTGCAGGTCAATAGGATCCTATCGGAGACCTAACCCCATATCAAGGTCCGTACGACAAGGAGATCCCCTAGCACCACTCATTTTCCTCTTCATTATGAAAGTCGTAGGATGCTTCCTCCGCAAAGATCCGTTCATAGACTGGCTCACCGAATGAAACTTCAATCCACTGCACGACTTCGCCCTACCCACTGCTCTGATGTTCGTGGATGATCTCACAGTCCTTATCCGTGCCAACAATAGTTCCTTTCAAACTCTCGTCAAGACTTTGGAGGTTTTCCATCTAGCATTTGAAATGAACGTGAACTGGAGCAATACCGAAGGATGGTGGCTAGCAGATGAGACACCCCCCCAACCCGAGGACACAACCACACCCATGTTGTGGTCCACAGGTGGTATGGTACATTGCATTCATCTGGTCCCCACCGGACGAAGCCAGAGCAAGATGTTATCTCTGGACATGGGATCCCAACCGAGCCTCTTGCATCAACAGGGTAGCATGGAGCCACATCATGAGGAAACCGCAGAAGGGAGGCCTAGGCCTGATTGACCCCAAGCAAGAATCAATAGCACTGCAGATAAAATGGATCATCAAGATCTTGACCAGACAATACCTACCATGGAAATAACAGCAAAATAACAACAATTATGTTTGAATTTCAATGTTGTTATTTGTTTATTTGATGGCTGGAAGTTCTTCAAAGGTATGAAAAGTTGGAGGACTTTGTACCATCCATTCAAGTGTAGTTGAATTTGCCTCAACTGCCCAAGGCGCTTGCAGAGCGCGCACTTCACTGGTTAAAGTGAGATAAACAACCACAAAAAAAACTACCAAGATGGCACTAAACAGCATAAGAAACCTAGCACCGATAAGATCTCCACCTAACATGAGCGACTATTTATGGATTATGGCAAAGAAGTGAGTGATAAGATCAGGTAGACCCCGTAGAAGAACCACACGAAACTCGGACAACTAGGCGGCCCCAACACCCAACCCGTATTGGACTCCGACTATGAAAGTCTGGCGACGAAAGATGCCAAGTAAACATAGCACAACGGAAAACAAATACGAGGTCCTGAAACAACCGTTGTTTTGCAACAATTGGATCAAGGACCCCGAGGGTACTCCCTGGTCACTAAAAACGAAGGATCGAAGGTGGCTATCTTGGATCGAAAAAAGGGTAGGGTAGGTAAAACACCTCTGGGCAGAAGAACGGGGCGAATGGCGAATGAGACAAGAACTTCGGTCCACTCTAAAAGGTTGTCACTCTCTAATAGACAACCTAACTCAAATTAAGAACAGCAGCCCACGTTATTGACTTCGCCTTTTGAAAAAAGACTTCTTCTGGAAACCAGGGGACTGGGGTACACGAATATCCCAAACCTCACCCAACAGAGCATACCGAATCGTATCCTGCACCTCAGCCCCCGGCTACCTCTCCAAATTCTACTCCTGCTCTGTTGTCAGCCATAACCTTCAGGAACCGGCTATCCTCAACAAAGAACCTCGGCTAG